AATAAACAATGCACAACTTCCCCCCGCCCCAATGCTGAGGTACATGCTCTGATCCTTATTCTCCATTACATTTCTGCTCATGTGGACATCATATAAAATAGGGATTAAATGCTACCAAACCTAGATTCTCCATTTGAACCATGATACAGTTTTATACTTTAGTCAGGTATGAGTTTCTTCACAGGTTAAAGAAATATAACTGATTATCATTTGGTATCAACGAGCAGAGAATCCAGTTTCTCTTTTCAACACCATTCCCAATCCAGATAGGTGTTTAAAGATCACAATCCAAATAATTAAAAGTAATAACTTCACTTAGAAATCAGGAAATCAAAAAAATGCAAGCTTCTATTCATTTGACTTCTTGTTTGTATATATTTAAGGGTCACAGTTTGAAGTAAAACTATTGAAAATATTTGTATTCTGAGTTTTCCTGTTGAAAAACAGGGACAAGAATTGCTTCTTCTGAACTTGCTTTCCATTCAAGATATTCTCTGCAGCCATGAAAGCTAGAAAACTGAGATTCTTACCTAGTCATGTGGCTCCAGGACATGATGGAGAAAAGAACAATCCTAATTTCATGATGCTATTTGACTAGAAACAGCCTTTGTTTATTTGTTTATTTTAGTAAAATGAAACCATAAGGAAGGCAACTTCCAGGTTTTTGATTACTTTGGGAGGAGAGAAGGGGAGCTAGAACTCTATTTAGACCCTCTACCTTCAGAATCAGGAGGGCACAGAAGGTTTTTTAAACGTAAACTCAGTCAATTTGTTTAACCTCTTAGGTGTTGTCTATACAGAGACGTTACCATGTAATATCATACAGAGTAATTAAAAATGCGGTACTTATTTTTCAAGAAAACATCTTTGAACAACTTTTGTGCATTTTCAGTAGGTCTTTATTCTATTTAGCTTAATCCAGTTTGAAATTAATTTGATTAAGCTAAAGAAGACAAAGTGTATTACAGAATAAGAGCATACCAAAGTTATGTGGAAATACTGATTTCATTTTACATCTGCATTCTATCTTCATGTGAATCAGCTTTCCGGTACAGAGAAACTGTCCACTAGCCTGTCATATCTTTCTGTGGATCTCCTTAATCCATTTTTTAAAGTATTTTATACTAGTATATTCTATTTTATGTTGAGGCAGATATAAACGAAGACAGAGCCATTGATTGATGAAATTAGAGAGCCACACCAGGGGAAAAAAAACAAGAGGCACTGTTTTAAATACACCTCCTAAGAGCACACCTTAGCTCAGGCAATAGTCATCAAAGCTTTTTATTATTGGTTACAGTTTGTGACGTAAGAGAAAAATCAGGGGTTCTGAGTAAGTTAGGACATGATCGTGGCTGGCTTTCAAGGCTTTACTTTAAAATGGTTTCTGATTCTGGGTGAGCACTTTAAAAACAAAATCTTTGGTCATATTCATCTGGTCCAAATGGTTGAGTTAGCACACCTTGGTGAGTTACTTCTCATTAGCTGAGCTGTCATGTGGCTTAAGCTAGCAGCTTCTACTTTGTGATTAACGCGTGCAAAAAGTGTATACATAGTCAATTACTATGTCTCAGATGTAAAGCAGCGACACATTAGCCCCTAATAACTTAATTGCTTTCACTTGTGTGCCCATTCTTACACTTGCTTTTATGAGTATTTTCATGGATTAAAGGGTGGTAGTAGGATTGGGCTTTGGCATGATACCCTTCTCATGAATATCTTACTGTTTTTGCTTTGTTTCTTAATTCCCTCATCATTTGTGAGCTACAGTAAAATAGAACTAAAAACCTGCAAGCATACATACACAAAATTCCTTTGAAAATAAGAACTCTGTTTACTATCATCCAGAAATCTCTTTATTCCTCAAACCTTCTGTCATCTAGCCTGGGGCTTAATTCATTGTACACTACTGATCAAGAAACCAGGCTTGAGTCAAGTTTGCACCTATTAGAACAAAAAAGCATTGAAGAGAATAACATTGCCTGTACTGGCTTATTTGGCTATGAGGATACATCATCTAAGACATCGTTGATGCAACTTCAGGAATTTCTCATCTATATGCAACCTTTCAGATCTGACATCTCTATCAGTTTGCTGAGTCAGGTCCATAGTTATGGCTGGCAAGGAATAGGTGAGCGTATATGCACTCACATTAAAAATTAAATTGGAAGAAAAAGGGGGAAAAAAGGAAGTGGTGAAGAATAAGCCTGTTCTCTTGCTAATAATCTAGGAGAATCTTTTCAGTTTCATCACACTCCAGCTGTCCTACACACCGTAGACAAATTGATCAGGATACATGTTTTCACAAGTTCTCCTCCCATTTCTAGGACAACTGTCACTGGGTCGTAGGCCCAGTGCCCGTTAGTGCCAAGCCAATTAGTTGCTTTGCAAAATTGAAGTCAGTATGCACAGAGTATTACATCAGTTATACTATCCTGAGCAGTGGTACAAGTAAGGCTCTTTCCTTAGCCCAGTGGCAGGCACCTCGAAATCTTGTTTGTATTTGTTGCCTCACCACAGAATTCTTGTGCATTCTTGAGTAAGCCATTTAGTCACTCTACCTCCAAGTCTTTCCAGCTGTACAATGCAATGATGCCTCCTCACCATGCAACTTAATTAGGGTCCAGCAACACTTTGGTTAGAGTCAATGGCAAAAGAGACTTTTGACTTCATTGAGGGTTAGTATTAGGAGCTTAGTACCCATAACGCACTTTGAGACACTCAGATGAAGGGTGAGGTAATGTAATGAAGAACAACAAAAAAATAAAAAATAAAAATGACTAAACACAGAGCTTGCTGAGTTTGCATTGCACATGACCTGTTTATAGATGCAGCACAATATAAATAGGTAATTACTTAACTTTTTCATAAGTGGGAGTGGAGGGGGGAAAATAAATGCTAGTGAGATGCGCTTTTTAGATGAGAATAAATGCACAACTAGCAACTTTATGATCATTTTTCTGCATGAAAATATAGAGAGTTTCCACCTGGTTCCTGTTCTTTTTTGCTTATTTTGTATGCATATATTACATACCTCTCCACTAACAAGCAAAATGCTAACCTAACAATAGAAGCGTCTGTCTGTTTCTGGGAAAAGTGAGGATCTGCTATACCAGGACCCTTTCAGAATAAAGATCATTGTTTAGTAATATATCAGGGACTTAGGATAATGCAGGAAGAGAATAGTGTATTTTTTTACACTATTGTTTTAATTATTTCTTAATTCCAGCTTACCTACAATCTTCCAACTACCAGTTTCCAAAAAGTTTAACCAATCAACAACTGGAAGAAAATAAATAACTAGATGCACCCAAACCAGAAAAACAAATTGAACTCTGAGGAAGTTTTATTTTTAACTTTATGTCTTGGCCTGGTACCAGAAGCCCTTTAGAACGTCATTGTTCTTTGAGGGAAATTTGGATGTGGACATAAAAGTCTTCTTAAGGCCCATAGTAAAGCCTTTTGAAATATCTGTTGAAAGTATGCAAGTTACAAAATATTCCTTAAAAAGATAATTAAATATAGATGATACTGTTTAAAGGTCTTCCTTTTCTGTTTTTTAGAAATATTAATAGGATAGACTTGGGCCAGGTATACCACTGGAATTTTTAACCTCTAAATTAAAACAAGAAAAACAAAAGTCAACCATCCCCTCTTGTCCCCTGCCCCCCATCCCCTTCCTAGTTAGAGTATGTAGGAATAAGAAGTTTCTCCTCTCTGGAGGGCAGAAGAGAAAAATATGTCTGTTCTGATCTCAGTTGTAAAGCAGAGGAGAAGTGGGTGAAACCACATCCTGGAACTGCCTGTCCCTGAAGTATCTGTAGCACTGATAGGGCTCAAGTGAGCTAGTTGCCAGAGCCATGTTGGTAAGCCTATCACAAACATTTAGGATTTTAAAAGAGATGCAAAGCCTACTAGAGAGCCAGCAAGCACAGTTCTAAAGTTGGAAAGACAAAAGTAAGGGTAGGAGGGGTAAACTTACAGCGCTCATACGTTGAACAATGGTAGTAGAACAGTATAGTTGATAATGTTTCTTGCCAACGTAAAAGCCACTGTGATGTAAGACTTCTTAATCTTTTAGTTTCGTTCCAAAAAAAAAAAAAAAAAGCTATTCTGCTCAACAAATAGGATTGTAAGAAACCTCTGCCCTTCTCTCCTGTCTAGGGGAACAGCCTCCTCTTCTACTTAAGAACCTCTGTGCCTGCTCCTTTTCAACCATTCCTAGGTGGAAAATAGGAACCTAATGTCCTTCCTTCTTTGTTGGCTGGGAGAGTTTTTAACTGTGCTAGCTGGGCCTTTGGCCCTGGGCTGATTCTTTACATCTGCGCTGAGTATTCACCCAGTGCTGGACCTGCTGTGCTGCCCTTCCAGCTTCTCCCAGGGCACGTACACTGTGACACAGGTAGTTTGGCTGAATCATCCACAAATGATTTGGTGAATAATCGTGGGCATTTCAACCAACTTTTTAACTAAGGAGACCCTATCATTTTTAGATGTAACCTCTTTGAAAAAGAAAAAACTAGTTTAAATAAAATCAGTTAGGGTACCTACCTTTCCATCTCCTTGCTATGTTTTATGTTTTGGGAAATGTGTTTTTCCTTTCTGAGTTTGTATTTTGTGGTTTTACAATTGTAGCTGCTGTTTGAAAAAAACAGACTTGGCTTACTGACAGCTTAGGTCTCATACTGTATTACGGACTCTTTATATGTTTCCCTTACAGAAATTCCTTAAACTATACAGAGATTCTATGCTGGAAGGTCCTTGTGAGGGACCAGCCTGGCTGACATTGTAAAGGAAATGGTAAAAATCAGGAGAAATATGTATAACATACACATTTAAAATGAAAGTGATTTCACACAATTCACTTTTAGTTCTAATTGAGAATATTTTAGGAAGACTGTGGCCTGCAAGCTCATCCCATTAACATCATATCAAAGAGAAGGAGGAGATGCCTAAGTTGAATGCTCTTTAAGTAACACTGATTTCTAACCTGGCTGCAGCCCAGAAAGGACCAGACGGGGTCATCATTCCCAATAACTACTGTGACTTCTGCCTCGGAGGCTCCAGTATGAACAAAAAAAGTGGCCGGCCTGAGGAACTTGTATCATGCTCAGACTGTGGGCGCTCTGGTAGGTGACTCCTTCTTGCAACTTTCTCATACCAAAGCATTTGTGTGATTCATTTTTTTGCTCCTTCTGAAGATTTTGAAGAAAGGCAGCATGTCTGGGAGGGAATGGGAAACAAGGCTTTACCTCTTGTCTGTGTTTGTGGGAAAGCATTACTGGGAAATTTTCTGTCATAAAACCCATTGTTGGATTCACATTTTTAAGCTAATGGGGTCTAACAAAATAATAAAAATTTAATGTATTTATTGGCTGCTGTGAACATTGTTACATGTACTACTTGTTCTTTAAATGGAAAAAGAAAATTCTATGACAATGTTAAAGAATGGGCTCTGTTTTCAAATGCTGCAATTACAACTATAAATTACTTACAAGTATGAAAGTTGCGTGATGAGCATTTCCATTGATTACACATTTCATGCATTTCTTCATCCAGAAAAGAAAGAGGGAGGAAATTACAGGGTAGGAATGGGGGTAGCTGTCAAGAATGATCCTCTTACAAGATAACTATCATTAATTTTGTTTAAAGAGGTTTTCTTTCTCTGTTTTCTTCCCTTCTCTCTTTTCAAATGTAGGCAATTGTGTCTTTCTCGTTCTGAGTTGTCTTTATTTCTGGGCTGTTGTTTTCTATCGTTCTATCTTTCTTTCTCTTTTTTTTTGGAAATTTTATCCCAGCTGAGCTGTTATTTGTAGCTTGGGTGGAAGGTGGTGATGGTGGTAGAGGGAATGGGTGACCTTTAACAACTGCATATTCCCACTTCAGTCGGAGTTTCCAGTGGTTATGTGTCTGGATAGTGGTAATAGTAGTGGTGATGAGACCATCAACAGTAAATCTGAAAAACAGAGAGACCTTGAAATTCAGTGTTGCTGCTGCTGCTTCCATTCTGTAGTCAATGAAAGATGTTTGTTGTGCGATGGCTGAAATGCAACGTGGAGTGTTCTTGTGCTGAAAGAACAGCCTTCTCATACTCCCACTGAAATTCATAGTAATGCTCTTATCAAATTCAGTGGGAGCAGGACTACACTCACCTTGACAAATTGCCTTCCACGGTTGTCGTGACCTCTGAAGATATGGCGAAGTGATAATGAGTGGTCATCAGAGGACCAATGGCAACCCCTTTGGTTTTCTCCGGGGGCTTCCTTATGAATGCTGTGCAGTCAGTAGCATGGTCTTTTAGTGTATATGTGTTTGATTCTTAATGACTAGAGGGGAAGCTCATGTGATACGTGGTGCCATCTTGGAAAATGATTCACCTTTCCCTTGATTGTTATAGTTCAACATAACTCATTTCAGCATCGTCCTGATATTGCGTAGTGAGACAGATCCATATTTTTTGCCATTTAAATATTGCTACGGTGATTGTATCAGAACACAGCGCAAATACATTAATTCCCTCAATTCCTTACTGTGATAGAGTAAGTAGATCCGCATGTAACCTAAATTGTGCAAAATGAGTTCCATTAAATGCTATCCTTGTACAAATTCTGACCCACCTGGGTCATTCAAAAGGGTCTGCAACGGTGTGACAGATGAGTGATGAAAGTGATTAAGGTGCAACCACACACACTAATCTGTAAACTAAAACAGTGAAAACTCTTTGGTGGCTGCCATCTTTCTCTTTCCTGATAATGGAGAACGTTTTCATTATACTGAATATTGTTTCTTCCCTTCCCAAAGTCAGTAAAATCACATCGCTATGAAGTGGATCATCTACCAATTATTTTGTTATCTCCATTTGCTTTTTGTGAACAGGATTTAATTCTTTGTTTGTTTCTTAAGCAATGCAGTGTATTTGTTATATGGCTGATTCTTGTAGCTGGAGGGGGGCCAAACACTTGATTATTTAATATCATGTTAGTGTTTCTGAATAATAAAATAGCTGTCCCCACAAACTGATGCTTTCATTTTGCTGAGGTACAAGAGACATCTTTTACTCTACCTTTCTTGAAGAGGAAATTTAAGGGATGTACTATTAATCACCTAACACATTTAATTGAAGAGAGAAAATAAATTTTACAGATTTAAATATTTGACTTTTCTTTTTAAGAGTCATCTTTTTGTTGTTGTTGTTGTTGTTGTTGTTGCTATCAATGTTCTTTGTGGAGAATTTCCTGTTCCGTGTTGAAAGTTGGATTGACACACACTTTTGAACTTCTCAGTGTTCTCCAAGACAGGTCATTTATCATCTTAGTTGTTTTAGTAGTTGAACTGTATATATTTGGTTTGTTTTTTGTTTTTTGTTTTTGTTTTTGAGGGAGATGCCATGACATTGGAATAAAAGCATTTATTTAGTTTATTTTTACTTAGTCTTCAAAATGTATTTCATTTTGTCTTCAGAGGAGCCTCTTTAGGGTCAGGTGCAGGGCAGGGATAGAAAGTAATCTTGAGGTTGATAAGACATCTAATGTGTTATATTTCTGTAGCAGTAAATTTGTGACAGTTGATGCCAGTCTGAAGAACAATCATTGTGCTTAGAGCTAACGGTGTCTAATTATTTATATGGTCTAAAAATCTTTTAAAATTGATCTAAGCAATCACAAGAAAATATTTTAATGTCTTTTAAGAGAGGAAAACATCATTAACCCTTTCGCTGCCATAGCTATGGGCACCTGTGTTGTTTGTAGATTTTTTTTTTTCTTCTAAAGAGAAATTGGTCCTTTTTCACTTTTCTTACTGCAGTTCTACGGAGCTATATTGTTGAGATGCGCGGGCACATACAAGCACACACCGATGAGCTCGATTGTCTAAATTGTTTAATAATAATGATGATTAAAAATTATGATAATGATGCCTGTTGCTTAACCCATGTGCTGATATATTCATCATACATGTCAGCTCATTTGGGAAGAGAAGGCAGGAGGGACGAAGCAGCGCCAGCACGCACTACGGAGGACTTGTTCGGTTCCACGTCAGAAAGCGACACCTCGACCTTTCATGGCTTTGACGAGGACGATGCAGAAGAGCCACTCTCGAGCCGAGGAGGTGGCTGTGGTGGCAGCTCTCCCTCTGCAGAAAAAAAGGGCGGCTGCTAAAATAACTAAAAAGACATACAAACTCTGAGCGATATACTGTCCTTTTTACTACTAGGATTATTATTGCCTTTTTTTTTAAATTTTAGGTCCTTGGGTTTTTGTTTTTTTGTTGTTGTTTTTGTTGTTTTTCCTGTGGGGTGTACACTGAAAGCACAAGCGTTTAAAGCTCTTGACAACTACTTTGAAGAGACAGAAAGTTTTGATTCTCCTGTTATTTTTTTGGTTTTAATTTGTTTTTCTCCCACCTCTCCCCTTCTCTTTCTCCTGGGAAACCTGAAGTGTGGATTTAATATTTTTTTAAATAGTGAGCAGAGTTGATTTTCTTGTCTTTTAATATATATATCGGCAAACCACGAAAAGTACAGATGGGTTGGAGAGCAGAGAGCAAACCCAAGTAGTTTTTTTTTAATTATTATTATTTATATATTCTATATATTATTAGAAAAAAAGATACTTTTTAAATAAAATCCAAAAAAAACCCCTAAAAAAGTAATGGATGTCTACTTGATAATAGAACTGTTTCTAGAGAACCCCTGTGGGTGGACTCTCTCAGAGGACAAGGAAACCCTTGGTGTGATGGCTTCTGCATTTTGAGATTTTGCACTTACTGTAGCATGTGGAGTTTGGCTCCTCTTGTACACCTGCTACATTTCTCTTTAGCAGCTTGAAAATACAAGCAGCTCCATTGAAGACCATGACCTTGGGGAACACGTTTCCATACCTCCTTTGGACACCTTTACACACAGTAGATCTCTTCCTCCCTGCACCTCTTCATCTCTTCCTCACTCCGTTCTGCTATTTTTCTTTTCCTTCACCTTTCACCTCATGAAGAACAATTTCCAAGGATAGGGATGGAATATGAATGGCAAGCCATAGACTTCAGACACAAAACAGATGGAGGAGCAGAATCACAGAAGAAATGATACGGAAAAATACCTCACCTATATTTTCCTTTCCTTTTTTAAATTTTAATTCAGATCGTTTTTTCTGTGTCGCCCAGATTTTTCTCTCTGTAGTGTCTTGTGAGACACTTTGTTTGCTTTTCAATAGCTTCTCTTGAAATAAACCAAAGCAATACTCATTAAAAGTTCCAAGGGCAATGGAGAAGAGAGTGACTCCCTTCCCAGCGACTGTCCCAGAAAAGAGGAAACACGCAGCAGGATTTGAAAGGTATGTCCCAGCTGAAATGTCTTCCACTCATTGTGAAATCTCTGTGCCCTGGATTTTCAACAGACCGTTGCCTGAGATTAGTTGTAGGAGTAAGTCTTAGGGGTTAAATTGTATTGGGAAGATGTGCCACATTCAAACCTCTTGTGAAGCTAATGGAAGTTGTGTGGGAGCAGGATCTAGCCTAATGTGTACAGTCAGGAGTAAAGGCTATAGAGGAATTCAGGGTGTAGGTTCCATTTTACTGTCCTAATACAGGCAAAAATCTCCCTGAAGGAAGGGCAAGATTGGGCTTTAAGGATGTATTTCTAGTGATGTGTATAATGCCAGCAAATGGTGAAATCCTGACCCCATTTAAATCAGAGGATAAATTGTAATTTATTTGGGCAGTATCTAATCCTGAAGCTGGAGGTGTGTGTTTATGATTCCAGAACTCAGAATAGAAATCTCAGTTTAGCGATGAAAACTTTGGATATATATTGTTCCACTACATGAATGAAGCCTATCCAAATGGATTCTTTTCCTGGGATAGCACAATGACATCTGTAAGAACTCTTTCAACATTTTTTCTAAAAACTTTATAGAAAAAGAAAAAATGATCCAATTGCAATGCTTCTCACTAATTTTTTATTGTTAACTATAGACATGGAATAAGCAATGGACAGATTCTGCTTTTAGGTACATGGATGTAAATCCAGAATGATGCTATTGACACTTAGACTACATTAATAATCTGTTTTTGGAACTGTAGGAAACTGTTTTACAAAATGTTACTAAATACCTCTATGTGTTTATAGCAGTGCATG